TCCTTCAGTTTCTGGTGGCTCCAAGCATTTCTCGGTTTGTGGCAGAATAACTCCAGTCTCTGCCTCTGTCTTCACACAGTCTTCTCCTGTGTGTCCCACCTTTTTGTCTGTATCTTTTCCTCCTCTTATGAGAACACCTGTCACCGGATTTTTAAGGCCCACCCAGTCAATCCAGGGTGATCTCATCTTGAGATACTTAGTAACATCTGCAAAGACCCTTTTCCAAATAAAGTCACATTCACAGGTACCAGAGGGTAGAACTTGGACAAATCTTTTTTTTTTTTTTTTTTTTTACAAATCTTTTGGTGGCAATAAATCAACCTACTACAATGAATAAGAATTGATAATCTGTCAAAGAGTAGGGTTATAGCATTCTAACATGAGTAAAGTATCAAGGAGAACTAGTAACCATATGGACAAGGAGAAAAGAGCACAGAGAAATATAGAACAAGCAACTAAGACTCCATTGGGCTAAGGCTCACAAAGCACTGGCATGTAATGATGCTTCCTTTGAGCTGCCCAAAATCCTTTAAAGTAGCACTAGGATTAGAGACTCATAACGTACTCAAAATGATACAGAGGCAGAAAGATTCAACAACTCATCCAAACACAGATGCCTATGAAGTGGCTGAATTGGGACTTGAACCGAAGACTTTCAATACAAAATTCTACACTTATTTCACCATGCAATGCTGCAGCCATCTCTTTTATACTGTTATAGAAAAAAGATTAATTCGTAGGTCAAGTTAATCATGAGCAGGCTCATATTTTCAACAATCATTATTCCTATATGACTCCTGGGAACTACATGCCCACGATCCTTCTGGGGAAAATAACAAATTTCACTTAAGGTCAGAGGGGAATCCAAGAAAAGAATTCCAGTTCTTAAACTCCCAATGCACTTGATCAAATGACCCAGAGCATGGCAGGGAAGCACATTTGTTGGGAGGACAAAAGGAAAAAAACATGTAGGAGCACCTGGTGTGCCCAGGTCACACAGAATGCCCCAAATGCACAGTTTCTATCCCTGGCTCAGGGTGCATAGAGCGAGAGACAGTGAGGAGACGAACTGTGGCCATTATGCCCAAACACTTTCAATGTCGGCACAGCAAGACGAAAATACAAAGCCAGGCCGACTGGTGCTGGTGAGATAATGAATGCTTAATACAAAGGCCAGAATTATTCACTTCACAGCCTCTAAACACTAGGAATTGTTGCTGAAGGAATGATATTTCTGCCTGTTGATCTTTTTCTTCTTTGTGATTTACAGCACAAGAAAATTAGCAGCCGTGGAGAAACAAATAAATGAATGGCTAAAGTTCCATTAATATATTATCATTCGGTCCTGGAACCCAATAGCACTACAGAAAGAAAGATGAAATAGACAGCTGACCGCACAACCTGTCAGCCACCATGCAGCTGAATCAGGGACCACAGCTGAAAGCCTTATGCACCTTGCTCTTTTGTTCCCTGAGCCAGTGGGAGAGGTTGTTGCAGCAGGGGTTGGGGGTGGGGGGAGCATCTCTTTAATATGGTCAGGAGTAGTTTCCACCAGAGAAGTAAGCACCGTTTCTAATTCCCTTTTCTGAGAGGTACATATGATCTAGGAATATCTACTACAAATGAATAAATCAAACACACAAATACATTCTTGTTTTGTCTCCAGCGTAAAATGAAAGGATCATTGGAAAAGAGAAGGGCTGCCCAGAATCATGGCCACCACTCCAGGCTGGGAAGCAGCAGGAAAGGGGAGGTACTGGGGTGGAGGGTTGGACCCGTAAATGGGGACCCTCTCAGACAGTGGAATCACTGTGCTGCACATTGTAATCATCAGAGGAGTGTTCCAAAAATCCCAGGCCACACCCAGGCCATTTATGTGTAAATATCTGGGCTGGGATTGGGCATTGGGATTTTTGAAAGCTCCTCTGTCATTCCAATGTGCTGCCAAAGTTGAGGATCTTTGCTTTAAACAAACAAATAATCTCAAACAGACAAACACTGGAATATCTCATCATCCCCAAATGTCTTTTTTCTCTCCAGGCTAGAGGCAGGAAGGATAATATATTAGCTCTATTTTGTGTGTGCATTAGAGTTTTCCAATCCATAACCTGAAGGTCTTGGGCTGAAGATCACCTGCTACTCAGCCATTTACTCCCATCATTACCTGTCTCCTGCCTGATCCTTTAGCTCCCTGAAAACACCTTTCTCTGTTCGAAGACCAGCTCAGGAATCATATTAGCGATAATCATGCTGCCACCACTATTCTCATTACTGATGATATCTAACATTTACTTAGCACAAACCACATACCAGGCATTGTTCTGAGTTCTTTACAGGGTATTAACTTACTTAGCCCTCATGATAACCCTTTTTTTAAGTTTAATAATAATTATTTTTAAGTTAAATATTTATTTCATTCCCTTAGTACATAAAGAGTCAAATTTATGTAACCAAGCAGAAGATAAGAGTGATTTGTGTTTCCAACTGGGAGAAATCACTTATTCTTATAATAACAGAGTTTATTGATTTGTTTGGTTCTCAGTAAGAATCAGACAAAATTTAGAATCCTTATTTTTTCTATTTGTCTCAAGATGCTTTCAAAAAGCAACAGCTCTTTTAATTAAATAGTAGTGATCCTCAGGAAGCTTAGGAGAGAATTGTGGACATAAGGATCCTTAAGATTTTATTGCTTGTCACACAATATACTTGTGCAATGTCATGGGAGAGACCTAGGATTGAAGATCTGTTCCTTCTCTAGGTCAGATGTCAACTTCAGCCAGGAGAAAACAATTCTACCACAGTTCAAAACCAACTGGGAATGGCCCCTTCTCAGGAGTGTGAACGTAACTTACAAAGGTGGCAGGCAGAGAGAGACCCTCAGTAACATTTTGAAGTGTTATTATAATGTCCATTTGGAAAAAGAGGATAAAGAAACTCAGGTTGAGGTCATCAATGTCACACAGTCAGGAAGTGGCAAAGCCAGCTATGAACCCAGGCAGTCCGGCTCCAGATAGCCTGGGTTTGACAACTGCTACACCTCTCTCTGACCTGTTCGTGGTATTCCAGCCTACCCTGAGCTCTCTTTCCTCTGAATTCACATTCTACCTACTCAATACCATACTGTATAACAGTTTAAGTTTGTAATTCATTATTTGCTTCCAGAGTAATGGTGTCCTGATAGCTAGATGAGCTCCCCAAAAGACACAAATCTGAGGGGTCATACACAATTAATTACCTCTGCAATTAAGGACAGCCCATATATTTTTTCCTAGTCTAAATTAATCACGTTGACTGGAAGCAAATAATGAATTTGCTTCAAATGACCCGGAGCATGGCAGTTTATGGGAGTTCTAGGGATCTTCTAGAATGCTTCATGTGATCCTACTTGTGTAACAAGAAATGATTTTTTTTAACAACAACAAAAAAATCAAGATTTATTTAATTAAATCAAACTCTAATAAATAATAGAATATAGCAGTTAACTCTAGAAAGTTCATGTAGTCATGATCTTGAACAAGTCATTTCATTCCTCAAACCTCATTTTCCTAATCTGTAAAATATTGGAAGTGATAATTCCTACCCTATCCCCATGGTTATGAGAATAAAATGAAATATTGTAAGTAAAGTCCTCAGCACACTACTGGTGCTTAGTAAGAGTTCAATAAATGTTAGGTATTTTAAAACTGGTTTTAGCCAAGGTATAAAAATGACAGTAAAATGTCAGAAAAGTAGCAAAAGGTAATGTAAATGTGTTGTTAGGTGATTTCATCATTGTGTAGACATCGGAGAGCATACTCACACAAGCCTAGATGGCATAGCCAACCACATGCCTAGGCTACATGGTATATACCTATTGCTCCTAGGCTACAAGTCTGTACAGCATGTTACTGTGCCAAACAACATAAGATTAAATCAAGCTCAAGAGAAAACGAGGTAATCAAGAGATGGGGTAAACAGGAGATGTATGAGGCTGCTGCCAGCATAACATGGCATACTGTTTCACAGCAAATTTCTTTTCATACATATAAAGAGTACACTCTAAAATAATAATAAAAAATATAGTACATACATAAACCAGTAACATAGTCATTTATTACCATCAGTGTGTGCTGTAGGTGATGGTATGTGCTATTCTTGTATAAGACTGTCAGCAAAGTAGGTTTGTTTACACCATCATCACCACGAACACATAAGTAATGCTTTTTGCTGTGACCTTTCCACGGCTACGACATCACTAGGTGACAGGGATTTTTCAGCTCCATTATAATCTTATGGAAAAATCACCTTTGTATATGTGGTCCATGGTTGACAGAAACGTTGCTCTGCAGTGTGTGACTATAATACATATACCATGTTAGATCTTAAATTAACTCTTTGGCAGAATGGCAGAAGTGTATCAGGTACTAGAAACTACTGGAATCTTCCAGGGATCATACAGGTCACCTTGTCCATTCTCCATCCTTTGTTGCCAGGATGCAACAGAACATCTAGCATGTGGGCATTTACTCTCTGAGCAAGCACGTTCAGTAGCAAGGCCTCACAACCTCATGAGGTAACTCATCCCTTCTATGAGTGCTGAAACCAACAAGTTTCATAATCCTTCTCAAAATGGTTCAAATCATAAAACAAATCACAGGAGAAAAGATGAATTTATAGCTAAGGGAGTGGGAAGAGAGGAAAACAGTAAATGTTTAGTGTGAGATATATACACAGATTAAATAATGGTTTTAGGGTATTAGTATAATAGAAAAAGTTGTTACATGTTCCTATACTAGGGATCATTTAAAACTTGTTGGAAAGCTTATGGGATAGGCTTCATGTAGGAGAGAGAGAGCTCATATTTTGCCTAAGAGGCTGGGTAAATAGATTCAGAGAGCTCAAGAAAAAAGATACAGAATTATTCAGGAGAAGAGGAAAAACAGTCAGCGAAGTTGAAATATGGGGGTGGAAAGTCTGGAAGACACATTGACATTAGAAGACCCCATAAAAATGAATAATTCTAAGTTGGCCTCACGGAATCAAATCTGTTAGATAACTGTACTGTGGTTGAAAGGAAATTGGCCCCTGTGTCTTTGAGCTGGATGATTCTTGGGTCACTGAACACACCAGCTTTAAACCCTGTGGCTTATACATCATGAGCCAGATTTTCTTTGTGGCTGAAGCCACAAAATAGTATGAAGCAGAAGCTTAAAGGATTTAATTAACTCAACAGAAAGCATTTATCACACGAGCAAAAAATGTTCAGTGTGGTTTGAATCCCTTAGTTAGAAATAGCAGCAGACCAGGAGGAGTAAGAAGACCTGTGTGAAGCTCTTGCCTTCGGCTCTGCTTCCAACACCAGGGTGGTGCTGCACAGTGAGCCACAAATCCTGCTTCTGACCTTTGCTTTTGCTGTTCCCTGTACCTGCAACATTCTTCCCCAGATATCAGCATGGCTCATTCTTCACTTCTTTCAGGTGTTTGCTCACATGTTATCTTCTCTGTGAGACATTTCCTGGTCAACCCACCTAAAACTTTTGGTTTATAAAAATCTGGTTTATAAAATAAACAGACCCTTCACATACACACACTTTCTATACTTCTCTCCTTTCTTTTCCTTTAGCACTTACCACTGCCTGGTACACTATAGATGTTACTTATTTGTTTCATTTCTTATCTATCCTCCCCTTCTCCCATTAATGTATAAACTCTATGAAGGCAAAGATTTTTGTCTGTTTTGTATCCCCTAACACCTACAAAATAATGGCCACATCTCCAAAATAATGGAGACTCTGAACAAAAATTGGTTGAATGGGCAATGAATCATAAACCTCATGCGAGTTAGTTAGTATTCCAGTGTTCATGAATGCTAAGCTAAAATCTTTATTTATTGCAATAATTCAGATATAAATCTAACCACATTCTGTTGAGTTAAAACTGAGGTTAATAACTTTCTCTAAGGTAATTATTGGTTTCTCATAAGCTATTCACAGTACATCCTCTTTTGCAGAAATATGATCAAGCATTTGGTTTAATTTACATTTGCCACTCAGATAATGCAGTTGAGCCCGTTGCTGATAATAGGACTATACATTGATTGATTACAGAATAACATTTTGGCTTCCTAAATACAACATTCCCTTTTCTTAGAAGAGTTCAAAAATAGAGAAAAAGGATTTGAAAAGGTGGAGTGAAAACTTTATAGAATTCCACTAGAATGTTGGTTTCTTTATGTATTTTTTCTCTTCAAGTCTAACAAAGAGACACCTGTAAAATTTCACAAATTAGGGAGCTCCCCACTTTCACTTAGGCCCAAATCGAAGAATCCAAATAAAAGATTATGACTATCTTTATGGAATTGTGTTGAAACACCTGTAAGCATTCCTAGAAACCAGCTAAGAGAGAAGGGAGAGGAACTCAGTCGGTTATTTTCACAGATGAAGTTACTGATTTGTTTCTATAAAACTATAGCTAATTCTATTTTATAATTATAGACATTTACCTTAGAAAGTCAGAAGGTTCACTGACATTAGAGGAAAAAATATATAAGTGGGTGGATTTAGAAACCAGACAACTTGGATTTTACTCAGAACAATAAATGATTACACTGTGACAGTAGTTAAATTTCCACCACTCATTTTCACTAAAAACAGCATTCCCTAACCATGTAACTTAATTGAACATGTCTGTTCTTTGTTTTCAAATGATAGACTACTCTGAGGCTAGCAACCAAGAGATCTGGGAAACAAGATGAAAATCAGAGACAAAAATCTGGTTTATAAAATAAATCTAAAAAAATCTGAGCTAAATTACCCATAATCATAAGTCATTAAATACAAAAATAGGAAATATCTGGAAGAGCAAAAAAGAAACTATTTAAAATATTAACTATATTTTCACTTCTATAAATCTATTTAGGTTAATTTTCTTTAACCATAACCTTATTAGCGGCAGTTGAGTTAAGATAAACTGTGAAAAGATCAAAGATTAATACAGATGGCAATTTTTCCTTTTCACTCCAAGCTGAATTTTCTCTACTTCATCCCTTTTAAAGTGCATTCAAGCCAAAAAAGAAGTGTCTACTGAGACTTCAGCTGTCATTAAGTTCTTGCCACTTTGAAAATAATGCTGTTCCCTTTGGTACCTATAGGAGGGCAGCGGACTTACTATTATCTAGAAGAGAACAGACTGATTTTAACAACGTATTAATTGTATCAAGGGCAATGATGCAAATTAGAAGAATTGATACTAAATTTCTCTGTTTTTTAGAGGGTAGAATAATAGTCCAGATATCTAAGGAATACCACCTTTTTGAAGAAATGAAATTGTAAACCCTATAGCAAATGCTATTCTCGGGTTGTCATGTGATCCTGGCAATCACATGAGTTGTAGAAAGTGGTGGTAGGCAGGGTCTCTTTAAGCCTTATATTCCCTCAGTTTGCATTTCTCTTGGATTACCTGTCTAAATGATGCTTTTCTAGAAAGGCTATGACAGGGGTCTGATGTAGGACAGGGGTCTGAAACATCATGCAGGTAACAAACTATTCTAAAGCCATTTTATTTAAGATGTTGCTAATTAAAGAGTAAGCCAATTGCCCCATGTCTGAAAGAGCTTGGAAATCCTCTAGTCCAAAATACATTTTCTTAAGGTGGAGATGGGCATCCTAGTGAAGCAGACAGTGAAATTTCCAACTGCAATTTGAGTTTTGCCCAAGTTGTATTAGGATGGAGATTTGTCCCTGGCAGATAGGGTCAGATGGGCTCACTACTAACATTCCTTTCAACTCAGACACAAGAATCCTTGAATCATTCACTCAATAAATATTTGGGTATCTGTGGAACAGCACACTAAGTAATTTTCAACCAATATCTTTTTTACATTACAGCCACTGTATTTATGAGGATTCCAACAATGGCAATTTTTGCTGGAGCACACTGAGGGTAAAAATTATGGCCAAGCCTATAACTTACATAATGGAGCTTAAATTTGCACTCGTCTTCAATTTCATCCGCACTGTCTTCATCAGAAACTTCCCCTTCCTCTGCATCTTCTCCAAGGTGATAAGGCAGCTTCTTACCCTGAAATGGAAGAAAACACTCAATTTAAAAAAGAAAATAAATTCGCAATAGCCAAAAGGTAGAAGCAACCCAAGTGTCCACCAAGAGATGAATAAATAAAATGTAGTACATGTACACGATGGCATATTGTTCAGCCATAAAAAGGAAATTATGGCACATGCTACAGTATGCATGAACCTTGAAGACATTATGCTAAGTGAAATAACCTAGCCAAAAAATAACAAGTACTGTATGACTCTACCTATACGAGGTACCCAGAGTAGTCAAATCCATAAAGACAAAGAGTAGAATAGCGATCACCAGGGCTGTGGGGAAGGGAGGATGGGAAGTTGATTAATGGGTATGGACTTTGTCTTGGAGAGATGAAAGAGTTCTGGGGACTGGTTACATGGCAATGTGAACGTAGCTAACACTGATGAAATGAACACTTAAAATGGTAGGGAAATTTGTTATTCATATCTTACCACAACTAAAAATACTTTTTCAAATGTGAAAAATAAAAATGTGTTATCCCTTAGCCAATCATTACTTCAGACTGACTAGAAAGCAGATAGTTCGAATTACAGGCAAAACAAGGGAGAAGAGACTTTCAAGAAAAAGCTGTTTTACTACCTTCAATTAAATATAATTAATTAGGGATGCAATATTTGAGAACAAAAACCAGGCTTCTTTTCGATAGTCTATGACTCATCATAACAAGTGTCACCCAACCCCATGCCCCTAAGAGCAGTGCGTTGTCCTGAGCAGGTTACAGGTGCCCTTACCACGTACATGCAGTGTCCATCTGCATGTACAAGCCTCTCTTTCACAGACAGTACAATGAGACTCCTGCCCAGCTGGGCCACGCCCCTCACAACCACTCACCAACACACTTTAGGAGTCAGGGGCTTTTTGACAAGAGAAACTTCTTATAATAAAAAGGTAAGAAACTCAAGTTATAGAATTATACACATGATATAACCTCCATGATGTATAAAAACTCAGGGAAAAACTCTGGCATGAAATGTGGCCAATTATTAAGAGCAGGTATTGCTAGGCGACAGTATTATGATAGTTATTTTCCCTTTCCTACATTTCTCAATTTATATTCAGAAAAAGTAAAAGTAAATCAAAAGCAGCAGCAGAAGGCAAAGCCCAGGGGCCTAAGAAGGGCTTCTAGGGTAGCTAACCACCTGTATCAGTAAGGCGTCTTATTTGCTAGCAGAAAGAAATAATAGTAAATTTAATGGCTCCCAGAATCTCCTAGGGAAGGTTGGGGGTGGAGTGAGAACCAGGTTCTGAAGCTAAGTGGCCAAAGACACTGTGGTAGGCAGCCTCTAAAATATCCTCAGTGGTTTCTACTTCTTGGTATTTACACCCTTCTCTAATTCCTCCCCTTTGAGTATTGCCTGGACCTAGGGACCCACTTCTAACAAATGAAATACATCAAAAGTGATAGGGTACCACTTCTGAGATTTGATTACGGAAAGACTGTGGCCTCCTTCTTGCTTGCCACATCTCCCCACAAACCCCTTCCTCTCTTAGAGAACTCTCTTTTTTCTCACTGCCCAGCTGGAGAAGCCCCCATTGCAGTAACTGAGAAGGCTCTAACCAATAGCCTGTAAGGAACGGAAACTTGCCAACAACCACTAAAGTGGAAGTGGATCCTCCCCCAGGCCAGCCTTCAGATGATGGCAGCCCTGCCTGACACCTCGACTGCAGCCTTGTGAGAGACTTAGAATGGATGACCCAGCTAAGCCACACCCAGAAACTGTGAGACAATAAATATTGCTTGAAGATGCTAAATTTAGGAGTGATTTGTTACACAGCTACAGATAACTAGTATGATCACCAAACAAAAATCACAGGGCAGAAGTAAAACACTGACGACACCATTTCCAACACAGCTAAGCACAGACCTCATGGCTTTCAAGTGCATTATCCACACAACAGACACCAGGAATAGCTGTCGGACATGCTGCCCTTGGGCCCTAAACGTAGCTGCCACCACTTCTACCACCCTTCACTAGGATGGATTCTGCTTGGTCCCACCACTACACCATGTGCCCACACCCTAGCTCTAAGAGAGACTGCAAAAGCAAATGTCTAGCATTTTTGGCACCTCTAAGGGGATTTCTCAAAACACAGGGATGGGGGAATTCCTTAAACATGGAATGATGTTCATATGTGTGAGCAGACAAAAATAATGATAAATTTAAGTGTCATCCCAAACTACGATCTGGACTGATCTTCTCTTAACTCAAACTCCAGTGACTCCTAGTATTCCTGTTCTCCACACCATTATTGGCCCCTCCTTCAGCACTGTGGAGCTTCCCCCCGCCCACTTCCACTCTCTGCAGGCCCACCAGCTCAGCCAGGTTTGCAGAGAAGTCTCCCTCCCAGTCTTCCTGAACCTCAGGTCCTCAGCACAGAGATAGTTACAAGCTGTTTAAATCATTTATATAATGAAAATAAAACCTATACCAAGAATCCAAACTCTTGGGGTTTGGACACAAACATTTTCTTCCAAGAGACATTTACATGATTAAAAATGTGAAATTTAATTTGCCTTTGTACCAGTATACTGCTTATTCGTATGGATTCTCAGCAAAGTGGAAATGACATTTTTTTCTTCCTCTTCCACAAAGATCAATATAGACACAGGTATTTAAATTTGTACATACATATATATGATTCTAAGTAAATATGGCATTTCTTCATTTCCTCCTGTATATCATTAATAACAAGGTAGCTCAGAACTAAGGCATTTGTTATTATATATTGTCTTATTCATAGACAAGGCTCCTAGAAAATGAATTTATTTTTCTTTATTGTAGGAGCATTGGTAGATTAGCTTGATAATATAGCAGCACCAGAAATAAGGTACTCAACTAAGTGGTGACCTGAAAGATTCAAGCACATATAGATACTAAGATTTATCAACTTCTTTGTATTTATTTATAACAAACTGTTTATTCAAAGTCAGTTTTGTTTTGGGCACAATGGCAGACACCAAGATGCATCTGTACACGAGACATTTTAAATGTAGTGACAGCAATTTCTTCTTTTGAAACAGCATCCAAGCCGATGTATTTTTTAAACGTTCAGCAGAACAAAACTAACAAACATGAGAACTAATATCACCAAGTAAGGAATAAGAGTCTCCAAGTGATACAAATGGTTCTGCTACCGCAGGACAAAAAGGAAAGTGTAACCATTATGAGCAAGTAGTGCTGAGCAGGTAGGGCAGTGGCACTGAGCTTCGATTCCCCTTTATCCAAGTGTGCCAGTGGGTGAGGGAGTAGAGAAAGAGAGAGCTGCCTTAGAGCATCTACAAGGTGCCCTCATTCTCAGTCCTTTTAAAATCTAATTCAAAGTCACAAGGGCCATGTTTTCTGCCAAGTTTTTCCACATTTCTCCTTCTCAAAATTTACTTTACCCAGGTAGATAGGAAGTAGAGCAGCACAACAAAACATTGTTTCGTGATGCTTCTCATCGACAGTGCTGTTACTCCTAAGGAAAATTACAGAATAAACCAGGTAGAATCTTAAGTAATAAAGAGTTTAACCATGGTCCAGTGTAGACCCAGGTGGCTTCTAAGGGTCCTTTTTTGATCTGCATACTATTTTATGCAGGAGTTACACTCAAGAAGTAGATTAATTCATCCATGGTATATGAATACATCGATAGAAACTAGAACCATAGCTACTTCTCAGCTTCAAGCTGTGTGGCCCCACACAGATGTGATTCTCATCTGTGAAAGCAGGAACTTTGAACAAGATAGTTAAGGGCTCTTTCAACAATAGCAGTCTATGGAAAATTGCTAAGTGTGTTATTTTTGTCCAAAAGCAACTTTTTGCTCACTTTTTAGGATATTATACACACACACACATACACATATATGTCTATGTCTATATCTGTATCTATCTATATCTATATATCTATATCTATAAATATCTACATCTATCTATCCATCTATCCATATATATATATATCTCCCAGAAAGCATACATGTGTTACAGTTATAACAATAAATAACTATCCATCTATCCATATATATATATATATCTCCCAGAAAGCATACATGTGTTACAGTTATAACAATAAATAACTATCCATCTATCCATATATATATGTACATATATATACATGTATATGTATATATGTACATCTATCTATCTATCTATCTATCTATCTATCTATCTATATCTCCTGGAAAGTATACACGTGTTACAGTTATAACAATAAATAACTTGTCACTCTCCAAAGTGGTAAGTAGCCATTTAAATGCTGCCTTTTGGATCAGAGATTGCTCTGATGCTAAAGGAACATAGGAAAATTCATTCCCTAGTTTTTGCTTTAAATGGGAGCATGCTGGTCCACAGACGCAGGAAATCTCCTTCAAGTCTCAAGAGCGTTACTACTACTAAATGGACCGCAGCTGCCCTGAAACACTCGCAGTCACATCGCTGCCACTCCTTCCAGTGCTTGCCTCAGAGCTTCTGACTCGTCAGTCATGGGACATTCTGTGTCAAATGACCAAAGTCCAGTTATGCAGAAAGGACTCAATTAGTTCATGTTGGTATCTTCCACTTTCCAAAATGGAAGAATTTCAATCAAATGGACTTATTCTGCATTTAACCTTCTGACTGCTGGCTAAAGATGATTCGGGAAACATGGAAACATTTACAAGGCAAAAAACGTAACAGCTTTCTAATCCAGCAATCAGTAATCACGAGAGTTTATTTTAGCAAGACTTCAAGAAAATTGTTATCTCTTACATTGTTAGGAGCTTTTATTCAAAATGCTTTCATACATATAAATGCCCACCAACACCTCTTTGATGGATTGTCTATAATTCTCATTTAACTGATAGAAAAATTCCAAAACTGAATACATCTTTCCTACTTACTGCCCCCCGCCTTAATGTCTCACTATGATAAACTGCTTCTTTAACTTTTTTGTGCTTCCTATGTTTATTTGTTTTTTGTACACCCCTCTTTTAGGAAAAATATAACCCAGTTTGAATATGACTATGCTACTGCTCTTCCTTAGGTTTTTAGTTTCAAAACAATCCAACTATCCAAGATGCTTTTAGTCTAAACACACAAACACACTGGAATCACAAAGTCAGTGATCTGAAATCTCAAGAAACTCTTTTTCTGACTCTTCCTTGTATTAATAATATTCATTACAGGTAGTAAGTTTCCGCCCCCCCCCCTCAGAAAATCTGTTTATGAAATGTCATTCTAGTCACCGCGAGTCCAGGGCGGGGGGAAGGGGGCAGTCCATCTGTGCCTGTGCTCCTCTTTGAAGCGAGCTGTTCTCACTTACATAACCGAGGCTGACCAACCGTGAAGACTTTTTTTTTTTTTTGACAGGCAGTTACTGGAGCTCAAAATGGGAGAGAAGAATCTGAAAGAAATGCTTTCAGATATGGACACAGGAGCCTTCTCCTCCCCTGTATCCCACACTCCTATACATATATTTCTCTTGTATAAACTATGACAGACTGAAACAGTAAACATTTGGCTTACAGTACTGACATTCTCACTACATAAAAACAAATCCCAGAATATGTGGTCAGTTAATAACAAGCTTTTTTGAAGTTATGACTATAAATAAACTGTAGCAAGGTACATACACAAATCTAGACAACCCTTCATGTAGGGACTCTAATTATTACTCTCCTGATAAACCAATGTTTAGTCCTTATGGGAGAGAGGGCTTAGTTGGTCATTAATGCCTTTCACTGTGTTCCTTCAGGTAATTACCTTCACTAGGATTTTTCCTTTCAAACTTTGAGGGCTTGGAAGCTGCTTGGTCTCTCCCGTGTCTACAGATGACAGGTCCAGTTTGTCCCGGAGTATTCCTTTCAGGTACTGAGCAATCTTCCTTTGCTGCTGGACGCTGCAGTGATTCTCAATAGACAGTATGACTGGGAACCTGTGAGCACAGAAACATATTGTAAAGGCATCGAGTACAGGCAATTCACAGGGAGTTTTAAAAATCATTCTGTAGTCATTATGTTCTTGCAATCCTAGTAACAGCACTTGTGAGAGTAGAGATGATTAACATGCTTTGAAGTGAAAAAAAATGAGATATGCATTAAAAAAAAGAACAAAAACAAATAAACAAAAAACCCCTCTTTTGAGCAAATATATTTTGCCAGGCATAATGGCTGAACGATATATCAATTCATGTGGGATGACTTAGTTTGCCATTTTGTATCACAGAAAGAAAAATGGTACACACAATGTCTCCTTTAAAAGAAAAAATAAAACTTTAAGAGAGATAAAAGGCCTAAAGAAATAAAACTCATAATGTAATTTTGTCTCATTTTTATTCAAAAGTCTAGAAACATCTAAGAGACCACTGAATATTATTAAATGCAGATATTTACTCAAAAAAATACAATCAGTCCCAGCTTGAAAATTACTATGAAGGATAAAATAACATAATGGAATTTTGTGTTTTGTAGCATCCGATGTCAGGCATTTCAAAATCATTTGTATAGAATTATATACTAGTCTTTAGTTTCGTGCAGGGGGTGGGGGGGGTCAAATGTTCACTCTCCACCCACAGTCAGGTTTCTGAGTAGAGAATGTGAGACCTGCGTAAAGTGCTTCCCAAAGACAGCACGAGGAGTCTGTGGCCAAGGCGGAAAGGGAACCAGGGTGAATTACATGACATTACTCCTCTTCTAACTTCGTTTTTTCCTCAGAATGAGAAATTACTTCAAATTCAGGTTTATTTTATTTTTTTTCTAGGTTTCCATCAATCTTCTGAAGTAATAGGCAATATATTTTTTCCAGAGTTACAAGCCAATATTCAAATTGCCTAATACACCCAAATGGAGAAAAAAATTTATTTCTGGGCTTGTGTAACAAACATAAACTCCACAATACAGGCTGTGACCTCCTGAACTTACATTCTATCCTCATTGCATAAACTTGACACCAGAGGTAATATAAGAAGAGATGAACCTTTGTGACTGAAGTTGGTTTGGTTATCTGACTATGATCTGTTTGCTCTTGTGTCCTCACATGGGTTTTATCCACAGTGTCAGAAAAAAAGAAAAACAACAAACTAACAATCTTTAGCTGTCTATAAATCATATCAGGGAGTTCTAACAATGAATTTTTAAATTATTGATCTGTTTACAAAAACTCTAGTAGTGTCAAATGTGCTTGATGTAGAGTAGTATTTTACTACAGGGGATGGGGGCAATTGTGCTGCACACACCCCTTCAACACGCACACAAAGGGACATTTGTCAATGTCTTAAGACATTTTTGGTGGTTACAATATAGGATGCTCCTAACTATCCTACATGCACAAGATAGTTCTCTACAGCAAAGAGTTATCTGGCCCCAAATGTCAACAATGCCAAGGTTGAAAATTCCTGCTATAAAGATGCAATCAAAGTTTAAGAAAGAAAAGAAAAAGATTTAACTTCTAAACAGGGATTCTCCAACCCCCCTTCCCATCCAAGGGCCACACAGCAGGAGGTGAGCAGCAGGCAAGTGAAAAAGCTTCGTCTGTATTTGCAGCCACTCCCCAGCACTAGCATCACCGCCTCAGCTCCACCTCAGATCATCAGGCATTAGGTTCTCATAGGGTCACTGGTCCCTGGTGCCAAAAAGGTTGGGGACCGCTGCTCTAACAACCTTATTAACTGTTTGAATTTGAAATGCTTTTTCTCTTAAGGATTTCCAAACTTGAAGTAAGGACTATTGAGTCACCAGAGGCTCTTCAGAGGTGTACATAGGTAGCAGATCTTCTCAACACTCTGACTTCACATATTGGAAAAGAAGGGGAAAAAATCACTTCTTCGAGTTGGCTAAGACTAGTAGCAAGCAAGGTAGTAAAGATATATCAGAAATCAGTACTCAAGATTCTTCCATGTAGAAGACATCTTAAAGTAAATCTGCTATGCAGCGAGTGTCTTTCATTAGAAGAGCATTTTAACCTGCTGATTAATTGAAGAAAAGACCAAATATTAAAACTTTTAAAGGCTACAAGCTTCTATCAAATCAATTTTATGCAGTTATCATTTTAATTTGCTTCTTTTATTTCAAAAATCATTCTTCAATGTCTGGTATGTTGCAGGAATGTGCTAGGCAATAAAAAATAAATAAGACACAACTCCATATTTTCAATGAGTTCTTAGTCTTAAAGACTTAAAAGAAGGCAAGCAACCAACAAGTGTAAGGGGGTGCTGTATGATATGATAGAAATATGCTCAGGGTGCTATGAACAGAAAAATAAAAACATTTAAATCAACTGGTGGTTATCAGTTAAGTTTGCTTAAGTAGTAGTCTTGTAGGATGAGCAAAATTAGGCAGGTAGAATTATAGAGAAGGGTGTTCCAGGCGGGGAAAATAACATATACAAGGGTAGGGAGTTGTGAAAAAACCTGGGATCACTGGGAAATCCAAAAGACAGTTAAGGAAGACAGAAGCCTAAGTTTCTGTGGAGCAATGGTGGAAAAGGGCACTGGAAGAGAAGGAGCCAGGCCCTGAAGGGCATGGAAGACATGAAGGACTTTAAGACAAGACTTACAACATCACGCTTATATTTTCATAAAGAGAAATACTGCACCGATGTGGAGGATGAAACAAAGGGAAGATGAAAATGAAGAGAAGGCAATGGAGTTAAAAGATAATTTAGGAAGTAGAGTTGACATGAATCGGCTAAATCTAGAATGACTCCTAGTTTCTGGCTGAAGCTACTGGTAGACAGTGCTAGCTCTAACAACAACAACAACAAAAAAGTAGAGCTAGAGATTTGCCAGAACGATATGGTGAGTTCAGTTTGGGATATAAACTCCATGATGTTAGGAGCTTTATCTTTCGTTCAGTGTTGTAGTTTCCTGCATCTATTACAATATGCCTGGCTTAGAGTAGGCACCATTAAATATCTACATAAATACCTGAATGAATAATGGCATTTGTTGATTTTGAGACACCTATGGGATTCTCAGATGAATTTTTACTAAGATTTTTTTCTATATACCCACTGAAACTTAGGGGGAAAGATCTGGACATATAATTAGTCAACCAAAATCATAGACCAAGGGCAACAACTTAGGAAATAGCGACTATTAAAGAAGTGAGCAATGGACTAGAAGACCATAAGCCAAAAAGGAGAGTGAGAAGTAAGGACAGCAGTGGAGGAGAGAATGTTCTAATGGAAACCAAAAATAAAAAACAAAAATAAAAAAATAAAACACAAGTACAGGGGAGAAAATAGTCAACGTTATCAAATACCAAGGAGAGGTCAAGTAACATAAGAATACTAGACACTAGTATTTATAGGACATCCAGCAAGTCTGGAAACCTGGATATTATTATTTTACTGTATTATAATACAATATCAATAAGTTGCTATGTATAGTAACCTACATTTCTAGACTTTACGGATAATATATATACCCGGGGCTTAGAAATTTTGAAGTCAGTCTTTGTAAGACCATACTTTGAGGCAACGACTGGAGACTGAATAGGGTAAAGAATAAGTGAAGCATCAGAAAGTATGCACATGGAGCCCATATTACTTGTTCATAATGTTTTGTTGGGAAGGGAAAGCTAGGGTGGTAGAAAGGACACAGACTCCAAGGAAGAGCATGCGCCTCTGCAGCCACGTTACGATGTGCAGGCCACGCTGCGTGTACTGGCCTCGCTTAGTTCCCAGGAGCTGCTACACTTACTCGTTCTTCACAAAGGCATGCTTGTTGATGGTCTCCACAACGTCTCTGAAGAGAATTTTTGAAGTGAGAGTATAACCATGGTGTACGACTGGCTCTCCATCTGGACCATCCCAACAGTCAACTGCCAAAAACAGAACTTCACATCAACAACCCCAAAATTTCTGGTGTTTACTAATATTTCTGCAAACATCAGACAAATATTATTTTATTATTTGAGATTATACATATTATAATCATGACAAAGGTGTCAAACAGAAATGGGTGTTCTGACATATTTATCAGAATAAGGAATGAAGGACAATAAATAATTTGATTTTGAGTGTGCATAGTCAACAAAGATGTCATATTTACAAGCAGCTTAGCACTTACCAAGAACTCTCATTAGAATTTGATCTAAATCCAATCGAGTGTGCCAAGGATAGTGGTATTTCTTAACAGGTTGTTTTTTTAATTTCACTTCTTCAGTTTACTAAGGTTTTTTAATACTTCACAGTGACCCTCTCAAATCCATAACAGGGTTTTTCATTACTATTCACTTAAACCCATTATGTTTCCACTAGATCTATTTCCACTTTATTAATTCTACAGTAGTTATAAAATAACATTGATTTCCTAAGTTCAAATCTTCAGGCCCTGCCAAGATTTATATAAATAAGGACAAATAATTGAATCATTTAAAGTGGTGTTTTCCTTATCAATAAAAGGAAAATAATAATATTTGCATCATAAGTTTGAGTGATAATTAAGTACATATAAAGTTGATTATAATGCTACATAGCCCATAGTAACTCATGTTGTTATTGATAAAATTGATATTTTTATGTACGTAGACAACCTCATTGCATCCCAGCTACGGACTTCCTCATCATCCTCCCTGACTTAGTTTGCCTTCTCTTGTTTTGTACCCTGCCATCAGACTAATTCAAAACACTGCTTTCACCACATTGCTCCTTTGCTCAAAAGCCTAACCAGTGCTTAACACAGCATCCAACACATAGTATATACTTAGTAGATATATGCTATGTTTATTAATAAATATTCTACAGCAGCTCCTGTTTGTTTACCCCCAAGGTCTCTATCTCTGGTGCTAGAGACTGGCTAGCCATTCACTCAGCCCATTTTCTCTTTCACCTTGGCACACAGCTGGACTACACTAGCCAGGCTTCTCTTGCAGTAGGACATGGCCATTGCAATGTGGGCAGAAATAATGCACCACTCCAGGTCTGTTCTATAAGCACTTGCTCTACACAGTCATCCATGCTCTCTCTTCTGCTGTGACTTGAGAAGCCATGTGTTGAAGATGGCTCTGCCATAGATGGAAAGAAGTCTAGACCCTTAAGTCACTGCTTGAAAGAGTCACCCAATAAGAACGATTATTTTGAATTTCACAAAAGCAATAAATAAACTTAGTTGTTTTAAGATAAGAAATTTCAGGTTTGACTCTTAAAAAAAAAAAAAAAAAACTAGTATTGTTTTAATTAATATCCTAGCTCCTACCTGACAAGTCAACCTTATTTTCTTCTATACCTAAACTCACAGACTTGTTCAGTTAGGCAAGTTTCCTCAAGTATAATCCTACCTTATGCTTCTTTCATTTAAGGTCAATTAAAATGTCCACTTCCACTCTGTTATCTAAATCCCAATCCGGACTTAGGTAGGATCCCCCACAGAAACTTGCCAGCACTCATGACACTATCCTTCCTATGGGAGGGGGTCACAAACTCAAATACAAACAAGAGCCTAGCAGGTAACATAAATGAGAGCAGCAGGACAACAGCAAATGTATGTCTAAATGAAATAACTACTTCTCACTGTCAATCAATCATTGGTGCATTGGAATAAGGACTCTGGTTGCCAGATCTGAGAAAAATAAAAAATCTAGATCTTATCATAGTGAATTTCCTTAATTTTTAATTATCGATAATTAATTTATTTTTTAAATTACACTATGGGCCAAACAAATAATTCTGCAGGCTGGAGTTAGCTAATGGAATGCCAATCAAAACGGCCTTTTAATTAGAGCCACGCAGTTCAAGACCACACCTATTCTCTATTTTAATAGCACCTTCCCTATATGTATGTTGTGTGTATTACCCCAGGCGATGGCATCCCCACTTCCTTCTAAAACTCTCAAACTGTTCACCATAACCATAATATGATTTGATGGTTATCATTATGTGTCAACTTGGCGGGGCTAGGGTGCTCAGTTTCTTTGGTCAAACACCAGTCTAGATGTTGCTATAAAGATATTTTAAATGTAATTAACATTTAAATCAGTAAGCTTTGGGTAATTCTCCAAAATATGAGCAGATTATTCTCCATAATATGAGCGGCGGGCCTCACCCAATCAGTTGATGTCCTTAACAGCAAAGACATGTCTCCTGGAGAAACATTATATATATAAAATGTTATTCTATATATCTTATATCGATATTGATAGATAGATGATAGTCAGATATATCTCCTATCTATTCTCTAATACAGTCACCTATATTAATTAAGCATTAGATATTAAAATATCCTTAGGGAATAAAATTAGAGAAGATAAAAGGAAAAAGAACTTTCAAAGGTAATACCATAGAAATACTGGAAACAAAGTTTAAGAATAAACATGCTGCTGGTATGACCAAAGGTTCTGGGATACTATTATGCAGCGTTGCACTGTCTCTTTGGGCCTGCAAATGAGGTCAAATATATCAAAGACATCTTCTCAGAAGAGAAGCCCCACCCGTCCTTTGACATATACTTGTCGTTCTTTAATTTGTCTTTGGATATAGGTGTTGAAAGAAGGAACAGATGTTTTAAAATATATAATTTTAACAATTTATCCCCTGACTTATAGTCCCATCTTGGAGGAGAAAGGACATAACAGGATTCCTCATAAATGAACTAATGTTTTCAAAAAACAAAAACAAAAACAAAAAACCTTAAGTAGACAAGGCAATGTCACGCCTGACCTGATTATCATGAACACATAAAAATAGAGCTTAAAACTACATTGGTGATAAAAGAAGGTACTCTTTTGCTAATATTTATAATACAGGCAGAATATCCATCAAGGATGGTTCTTCTAATGTTTGCTTTGTAGGTCTGGTAAACGAAGATAACAACAGTCCCAAACGATGCTGACATCCTAACATGTGGCACTCATACAAATGAATGGCGGCTCCTTTAAGATCTCATGCTATAATGAGAATGTTGGCAAGATTGACATCCTCTAATCCATTCTCGTAAACACAAAACAGCCCATTTTTCAGTCAGGTCACATAGCAGAGGCCCCCAAAAGCACTCTGACGGAGTTGGTCAGTTCTGAAGGCCAGCTGAGCAGCTAACATGACAGCTTTTCATAATGCAACTTAAAAACGTTCCACCCCAATAGCACTCCCGGTGATAACAGGAAAGGTTGTAAACCGATTATAACAGCAATGCAACATCACTTCTGTAATGAGAGTGAAAATCCCCCGGACAGAACATCCATATTTATTAAGCAACTCGGGCTGAAAATCAAAGGAATAAAAGGCCATGTAAAAAAAAATGTTATCAATTTGATTTTCTGACAAGCCCACTTCACCAAAAAAGACTTATTAGTCTTCCTAAAGACACCATATATATCCCGACCTCGGACATTCCTGAAGCTGAACCAAAGAAGATGGAAAACACAACATTATCAAAATAGAAGCCTGAAAGTGGAGAGATTCTTTGGGTCACAATACCGTGAAGAAACTGTCTAGAATCATTACTCTCCATCTCGAAGAGGTATATTTGGCAAAAATTGCTTCAGAAAAATATGTAGGGGACCTGAAATTTTCAGTTCATAACCTGCCACATTCTATAAATCAGGTTCTTTAAATCCTAGTGCAGGTGTCTAAGAATGAAAACAACTTCATCTGGACCCAAGGTAGATAAAGTACAACTGACTATATATATATACATTGGTGTCTCCAAGCCCAAGCTTCAAACGTGAACTAAGGTCTTCAAATCACGGGGCTGACAGAAACTGTCACAAGATCACAAAAGATCATGTCATCAAATTCTAAGTCTTCAGGAATGTCTAAATATCTGGATGCCAGACCTAATCACGAGAAAAGCAAATTCCTCCTTTTAGAGCCTACCTCCCCTCTGTGCTGTACACTTTGCTTGCTCTAGTTTTCCCTTATATGACCTGATATCCGTCATGTCATCCCCCTGAGGGCCAGTCATGTCTTTCAATGCTTGCTCCTTTAAAAAGCACACAGGCTTTCTGGAAAACAGTAAAGTAGGGAAGTCAGACAACTTGGGTTCAAATCCCAGTTTCCAAATGTCCTAGTTATGAGACCTTGAGCTACTTATTCCACTCCAAGTTGGGGTGTTTTCTTAAGGAGATATTCCATCTCCCTTAGTGTTATAAGAATTTAGTGAGAATGTATGGAAAGTACTTAGTCAGAAACTAGTCCACAAAAGAGGCTGAAGCTGTGGTAGTCTCCCTGATCTTACGTATAGTACATTCAAAGCCAAGGTGACAACAATTTCAAACAGGAAATAGATCAAGTATAAAGCTGGCCAAGTCTACCAGATAAATATAATTCTTCTCCTCAACAAAAACTTTTCTGAGACAGTAGCTTGACTTTCACTGTCCACAGATTATTCCAATAGTAAGAATTTCAAGCCAAATAATAGAGGAGGAATCTGTTGATGCAAGCTAGTAAGGGAGATATTTAAGAGATTGAATGCCCTTTAAAATTATACCATAGCTGTGCATATTCTCAGTTTGTGTAAATATCTGAAGCAAGTAACCTTTTAGACGAGGGCAAAGTGGCTTCTTCCTATTATAGTACTTCGATGAATGGCATACAGGAAGAAAAAAATGTTTAAGAGAAGGCTCATGTTCAATATCATTACTGTACACAATTTCTAAAAGCTCTCATTTTAAAATTAAAAGACCCCTGAAAAAGCTAAGACTAAAAGTCATTTGCACCTTACTATAAATTATCTTAATCAGATAACTTTCCTTCTTAATATCCTAAACAGAGTTGGAAGATTAGAAGTTTTGATTCAGTATAAGGAATTGATCATGGGAACATGATTAAGCTTAGGTAAGACACTGATTTTGGACAGAGAAATCACAAAAAGAGGAAACTAGGTAACCAAAGGACCTAGAAAGCAAAAAAAATACAGGACACAGAAGTAACAAAATTGCCAGACTGTCTAGAGTTGACTTCGCTTCATGGATTCACTAACAGTCATTTTCCATATTTGGCTTCCATGAAAATGTCACCATCTAAAATGAGAGACAACTATCACTATGACTCCTACGACAGTGCGTGCTCCAGGTATCTCTGTGAATGTCAGACATGTAAAACTGGTTGAGTGCTGAGTGAACGAAGGGTTTAATAATGGCTGAGAACAGAATGCCACCATAAGACCATCTGTTGCTCGAAACTTTTCTTTATGTTAATATTTTATAAGCATCTTCATTATTTAGTTGCTTAAGTACTCAATTGTCAATCACTATTATCAGTGGGTATTCTCTGAGTCCATGGCAAAATGCCATGTCTTAAAGCATTAATTACCAGAGTGCTAAATTTGTAGTGATCCTAATGGTTCTGTATACAGATAGTTATAATGACTGTCCATTTTTAAAATGTTAATTTATTTTTATAACATTACTACTACTTTTATTACTACTATTGCTATAACATTACATCTTAAACTTTTACAGCAGAAAAATCTTCAAGAGAGAAACCATGTGACAAAGGAAAGCTCATCCAGTCACCAGGCTTACCTCACCCCACTACAGCTCTATTCATTTCCCTTTATTTTTCTACCACCCCAAGAACAACCTGTCATCCACTGCCGACTCCCAGTTTACCCCCGTCATAAAGCAATTCCCCTGTGCTGCATGGGCTCCATTCCATTATAAACAAATTCCCTTTGATCACCAGACTCTTTTTGGAATTCTTGCTCGACCTCCTTATCTCGGTTAACAGCCAGCTTACCTTGGTGGAGGACCCTACTTCCTTTCTCCACAGATGCTTTTTTTGTATAAATGATAGAACCAGAAGGCATTCTCTAGTTCTTTGTTGCTACTTTTAAATAATTGTTCTATACTAGTAAAAAATAAAATCCTCCTCACTTTAATCCAGCAGTACCTTTCTGGCATATTACAAATGACTTTTCTATAGCATTCTTTTTGTACTTAAATATCTGCTTTATGGTTTTTAATCTCTAGCTTTTCATCTTTTAGTTTATTCACTTTGAATCTCCCTGTCAGCATCCTTTGTGAGTTAAAAGTCCATGTGGGTAATCTACTCAACCTCCTGGTCTTGACCTCCTCAAAGCCAACAATCCCTTGCTTCACTCCATGTCAATCGTGCTCACCCGTGACAGGCCTCGAATATAGTCATCGCCTATAGTAAGCACATCCCAAATCCCACCTCGTGATAACAACTCTGTTCTTGCTTTTAGTACGTCTGATGACCTTTCTCCACATTTCTATTTCTTTGAGTCTTCCAGTCTCTTAACCTCGCCTCATGGCCCCTTATTCACTTCACTTCCTTTCCTAGACCCATGGACCTACTGTCAATTATTAAAAGAGCTCTCACCAACACCTTGAGACATTTTATATGACCTACAAATCCAGAGGCTTGAATCAACTCTACAATCTTCATTGCTCTTCTTACTAATCTGTTAGAGATGAAGTGGGAAGAGTCTAAGCACACAGATTTTGTATCACAAAAAGACTTTTTAAAAACTTTATTTATTTATTTTTATTAAAATTATTGGGGTGACGTTGATCAACAAAATCTGGTAAGTTTCAAGTATAAAATTCAACAGTATGTCATATATATATGTGTGTGTGTGTGTGTGTGTGTGTATATATATGTGTACACACACACGCACACACACACACACACACACACACACACACATATATTGCATTGTGTGTTCACCACCCACAGATTTCCTTCCATCACCAAATATTTGACCCCTTTTGCCCTTATCTACCTCCCCGCTCCCCTGTTCTCTCTGGTTAAAGACTATTTTTGAAATTAGCTGAACCTTCCCCAACTTATCTTGTCGACTCCTTTCCCATTACCTGATGACTTTTCTAAAAGGTGCTGATCTTCTTAAGCCCCCAAGCCGACCTACATGCCCTTTGCACTTAGTGGATGGTGCTTTCTCCTACCTCTCTGAGAAAAGAGAGGCTATCAGGCATGAACCCATTCAAAATCTCTTTTCTCCTTATCCTGTCTGAAAACAAACCTGTGTCCCCATTTCCCCCTCTTCCAAATCTCAAAACCTTCTCAACCCTATATCACCAAATCTTCTTCTAATGTGTGAAAATGCTGAGACACTAACCCACAGCAGATCACCAATCTCCACCTTCCCGTGCCTAACATGCCACCGAAACTGCACAGCAAAGGACACCACTAACTTCCACTGTCAAAAACCAGATCGGATACTTAGTCTTTACCTTACTTTACTCTTCTGTTGCATGGGACACTTTTGACCCTTCCTTTCTGATACTTTCAACCCTTAGTCCCAGTGGCCACTTGCACTAGTCGGCCCTGTTTGTTCCTCTTGCTTTTTCTACCTTCTAAATGTTGGATTGCTTACATCCTCAGGCCTCGCCCTCTTTTCCACTCCTCTCTCTAGGTAATCTCATACACTTTTGTGATTTTAACTACCATATACAAAGCTCAGAATTATGGAATCTATCTTGCCCAGATCTTTCCATTAAATTCCAATATCACTATCAATTAATAAACAAAAATGTCCACATATATGTTGCAAAGTCATTATAAAGTCAACAGATGGAAAACTGAACTAATTAATGCTCTTCTTCTCAGATTCCCAATAGTATGTGGTGATGCCATTCATTCATGCCATTCTACTTCATTCCTTACATCCTACTTTTCTTACCAGGTCCTGTTAAATTTATGTCTTTAATATCTGTTTAACTGTCTTTCTCACTTAGCCCAAGCTTTTATAATCCTTCCTTTGAATCAATGCAGTAGCCTCCCCATCATTCTCTTTGCTCTAACATCCCCTCTCCTCCTCTCCCAAACACAGATGAAAACTATTTTTCTCCTACTGCTGCCCAAGCAATGTTTCTAAACTACAAGTGTAATCATCACACTATAGGTATTCTGTAGCTATTAAAACCCTTGTTATCCAAAGCTAACATTGGAATTCCTCACTACAGCCCTCAGAACCTTTATGACTGATCTGAGTCTATCTTCCCAGCCCACCTGATTTGTCATCACACTTTACCCCACAGCTTACCCTTCATGTCACTCCTCTAAAACATCTATGATTTAACTGTTGGAATTATCATCCAGTACTATTGATTCTAATGTCCACCCTTCATCTAGACTGTGAGCTCCTTGAAGACAGACGCTATGTATTATTACATCCATGTCCTCACCTCCAGGAACCCAAGGAAAATTTAATAAATGTTGGCTGATTGATAGGCCATGAAGTATCATGAAAACAAATAGTTATCCTGAACTACTTTTGCTACTATTAAATCAAAAATATCTTCCTAGGGAAACTGCCGCTTTCATCACAATTTTGCAGCAACCAAAGGAATGCTCCCCAACTGCAAGCTCACGGATCTCTCCCTCCTGATTCAACAGGAAGGAGGAACCAGGGAGGATTATGAGTTAAGAATGACTTTACAATGAGCAGAAAAATGCTTCTGGTTAGTGCGAGTGCATTTTTTTCAGGTCTCCACTATTCATATCAGCCTTGAGTGACCATCTGAAGGACACGTTCGCCAACACAAACCGGAGCTCAGGGCACATACCTTCCACGCAGCGACAGCCCTCTTGTAGCACCCGAGCGTACATGTCCACTTTGGACTGAGAAAGGAGCTGGTCCCCAGTCAGGTACGTGTTGTGAGAGGAAGCAATGTAGTAGTTGCACAGGGGCTGATCCATGTCCTGGTATACTTCATGATGCAGTGGGTTAAATATGTCACAAGCAGGACTACGCATGAAGTTCGTGAAGCCTTTGGAAGAAAGAGAGAAGGAAGTGCTACAGCTTTAAAGCATATGTAACAGGGACAAAAGAGCTCAAAGTGTGTTCTCAGGGATTATCTGAGTTACCCTCAGGACAGCCTTGGGAGGGAACACTGGGCCAAGGGGAGACTTACTCCAGGTCAAACGGATAGTTGCATATGACTTTGGGGAGTAGCAGTTTAAAACTGTAACCTACAGAAAAAGACTTTTTAAGAATTTTGACTGAGTGGGGAAAAGGACTTCCTGCAAAGCCATTCGGTAGTTACTGAGCTCAAGCTACGATTATGCAGTGTGACCTAATCGGTGACTGATGCAGAGTTAAAGCATTATTTATACTAAGTGGTATAATGATCAACTAAGAAGCTGCTAATGGCTAGCACACTTACTAACTGAAATAGTGCTTAAAGGGTTATGTAGAAAACCCTGTCATTTTTTCAAATGCCTGGGTAGAAGAGGCATTCACTAATATATGAATAAACATATGAATGACCTATAAATACCTAAGTGGGATGGTTATTAGGGTAAATTGTTTCAAGTCTTCAAGAATCATGTGGTAAAACTGTATTTGTAATTATCCCCCGAGACTGGAGAATTTCCTCACGCCCTTCTTGATGGCCGTAACTTAGAAATCATGTTTAATTCCATCTTTTAGGGCCACACCAAGGAAAAGATCCATTTCTTAGTAATTAGTCCAAATTAGTTTGTTTTCTCTGGTTGTTTTTAAAGTGGTTTTTAATAATATAAATTTTAAATTTTTCTTCTCTGTTTTAATTATCCTCTACCTCAGGAAGTAAACACAAACTCCCCTTGCCCACACTGAGCCTGGAAGTGGGTGAAATAAGAGGCCAACGATCAAAAATGGTGAGATACACCCTGGCTTTAGATGGTCTTGAGGGCAACAGGGCACCTCAGTGGTCTTTTGTTAAGAATATCTATATGTTCTGCTTGCAAGATTCTCCTTTTAAGTAGAAGCCTGCCATTTTTTCCCCTACATATTTTAAATGCATATAATTTAGCCATTCATGCAGCTATATTCATATATTATTTCTAGTTAAGATCCTAAGACCTAGATTCTGAATATAGAACTGTGGGCAAATAATTTAATTTCTTTGAGCCTCGCTTTCCTCAATTATAAAATGAGATAGTTGTATTAAAGAAATTTGTGGTTCCAACAAACCTCTCCATGGCTACCAACTAAGCAAAACTAGTTAGTCGCTGATATTTTTTAAGAAGCATTTTTACTTTCAAGTCACTAGTTTCATAGATTATTTATTTTAAAATTGAATTTCTCTTTATAAAATGATCAGGTTAGGACTACTTCCAAAAATTAGCCATTTGAGAAAAGTCCAAATATCTCTTTGTATCTTTCATACATAGTGGCATCGAGTTGACTTTGTATGAGTCAAAAATGTATATCGTCATTGCAAAAGTAAGAGAATTGGCAATATCGTGGCATCTGCTTTGCAGGAAAAAATATGTGTGTGTATGTCGGGGCTGGGGGTGGCGGTATTTGAATCATCAGTTATTCTGTAGATAGCTCTGATTTTTTTTCTCCTAAAAATTTTGCTAGAGTTTAACTTACTGAACTGAATTGAAAAATGAGAAATTAAAAATATTGTTTTTTTACCTTCTATGCCAAGAACATTTTTTGCCTTATTTTCTTCTGAAACTTCAAATTTCTTTATGATGTCAAGACAATAGTCTGTTGTCACATTATTCATCTAAAAAAAAAAAAAAAACCAGCATTAGTAGAGTACCTGAAATTTCATGTTTCTCTACACTAAAAAAACATCATACTGATTTTCCAAGCATTCTTGACACAGCGCAAAATGGTTAACTGAACAGTGTTTGAGCTTAATAGTGTCACAACCACTTTATCTTTGGAAAGTGATCATGATCAATCTTCCTTGCACTTTTCAGATTTAATCAGCGAAAGCAGATTAGATTTCAGAAAACAGTACTTCAACTACTAAATATGCTCTATGAAGCAATAAAAAATAAAATCAATAATCAATGCAACCGCATTGTCAAAAATCCACTCACTCGAAGCTAGTAGGTGTCTGCAAAACTAGTGTTTTCTACACAAACACTGAAGGTTGCTAATCATAAATATATGTTAAAAGAAAATGATTCCCTACCAAAACAGGTGTTCTAGGTAAACCCACCTGTGTGTGTGTGTAACTATACATCCTTCCCCTGAAGCACGAGAGCAGCCTGCCATGCTAATTCAAGAACACAGAGGTTAGGAAGAAAAAGTAAAAACCAAAGGCGATATGAAGCAGCTGGCATAGCAAGAGATCACTCTGGAGCTGGCCTGCGTGTGTTCGATGCAATCAGCTCATATTATTGACAGTGTGACCTTAAATGAGTCATTTACCTTCTCTGTGGCTACCTTATAAGGCAGCTGTGAGGATTAAACAAATTGATATTTGTAAAGAATGACGTGTGGCTCCCGAAAGCTGGACATGCTAGTGTTACCGAGCCAGCCTCAAGGTTGCTGTATGAACATCACGTACTTAGTGTCGCTGGGAAAAGTAAACTCTTCAGGAATCATTTCTTTAATTAAACAGCAGCATAAAGGAAGTGATATTTTGATCGAAAATCCATTGATTCCCAGAATTTAAGGGTGACATTTAAAAGTACTGATGAATTGTGATAGAGGAAGCTAATCATGTGAGCCAGTATTTCATATTCCAATACATTTGAAAGATTCTATTATCTCTTAGGTTGCATACTTATGTTTTAATAAAATCTAATTTTTCTAAACAGCCTATTTAATAACAGTTAAGCTTTTTGCAGCGGGCGGTGGGGGGAAGCTCTGTTATGCAGCTATTTTTTGCCTGTCTGAAGAAGCACAGAATGCTTTATTCCCCCCAAAAACAAGCTGCATAATGGCTAATCCATCCTTTGAGTGAAATGTATAATTCTTACTTTATTCAGAGGCCTACACTACCAGATAACACCTGAAAATACCATAAATTAAACCATGCTACCAACGAGCACCTCTACTGATCCAGTCAGGCTTTGAGCAGATCCGTAATTTGTCTGCTATAACCTACAGAGGTTTATCGCATGCAATCCAAAAGATAATTTCTCACAAAATAAAAAGAACCAAACTGATTAAAATTGTATGTGCCATGGGAAGACTGAGTTTACATTGCAATTATTTGGCTTATGAGGCCATTTGTTCAGAGATGTACGGGCCTTGAACTAGACTCAGGAAGTCCACCAGGAGCCCATGAGATCTAAACAAACAAGAAACTTATCCTGGGATGGAGCTAATTGCAGATGAGTAAGAACACGATACTAGTCCAAGATACAAAACAGGATGTGCTAACAAAATGCATCGTATTTGAAAAGTGTTCATTAAATTGGTGAAAATATTAGTAGGCATTCTGGGAAGTCACAGTTTTCTAGGTACTATGAAAGAATTAATGGGAAATAATCCACTTTCTGCCCTAAATTCAAGTATTTAGGATTAACTCAGTAAAATACAGTAAAGCCTCATAATGACAACTGAAATATGAGTCAATCAGCTCCTATCCTTCTCCCATCCCTGTTCTTATTTAATTAACCTCTCCACAGTAAAATCCTACATTTTACACAATTGAATTTTTTAGACTTTATTTAAAAAGTTATATTGGGGTTTCACTGAATGAATGAAGGTTCAATATCAGTTAATGCTCTTTATTGTCCTTTTTCCCCATGTTTTGCTTCCCATTTGACATAGCTGGTAAGGTAAAACAGAAACACTTACTCCCTATTTCCCATGGAGTTCATTTGGAAGTGTTATTTGCTATCTATCTCTGAGTCACTTGCTGTCTCTAATGTTCTTACTGTTCAAGGCTGTTGGTTCTAAAATAAGAACTTAAGGAAAACTTGATTTATATAAACTTGATTTATATAAAACTTGATTTTAATAATGGTTCTTTACATTGAATAATATGGTCAGTGTTGTGCAGTTTATAAAGAGCTTTTATATCCACAATCTTAAATAGTTCTTACAACAGTCTTGTAAAGGTAGTATTTTTATCCCCATTATGTAGAAAGGAAAACTGATACTAAGGTTAACTATTTTAATCCAAGTCACAAATCTAGTAAGAGGCAGAACCAAGGTTCAAATTTCAACCTTCTGACTTCAAGTCCAAGTTTTTCTTTTATGTTGTATCTATTCTCTGGGTGCTTTTCTTTATTTATACTGAAAACTTGAAATGCTTTCTTTGAAATTGGTGTTTCAATATAGCTGGAACTCCTGAATTTTGACTTTTAAAATTTTTGCAACTTTCAAATCAGTTACTATAATTTGACTTCTTTGATTAGTCCAGGTTGAACTCCATTCTTTTTTCCTTGTTTATTATAGTTCTTTAATCTCATCCCAAAGAGAAAAGACTAAATAGTCCTCATATTAAAGGTCAATCTACTTCAGATAGACTAGTTGTAGAAACCAAGGTCATGGATCTATAAAACACTTGTGTTCTGACACCAATGTTTTATTCTCACACTTCTTTGTAAGTCTTCTAGCAAAGCTGTTCAAGTGAGTGCAAACTTCAAAACAGTCGGAGGGAGTAAATAATTATAATTGTTATAGTCATGATTTCGAAACACACCAAACACAAAATCTTAACAGAATTTTCAGAGAATTTTAATATTGCTAAGCTTTTTAATTTGCTTTTGTCAAAGTATTGAATTCATAATTAAATAAGTCAAAACTAAGATACCTATGACTAAAAGCAGAACGCCCACGCCTAATACCCAGAATCACAATCTATAGGCAAAAATGCCAACATTTCTAGATATGTCTTGTGGAAGGAGTCTTTATATTCCTAATAATTATGCAAATGATGCTATTATTTTCTGTTTTATATGCCTTAAATATTGTCTATTAATTTTTTATGTGTTAGATAAAGACTTAGCTCTTTGGGGCCAGCAAAATTAACTTTCTCTCTCTATCCATCCTCCCAATATGGTTATAACTTAATTTTTATTAAATTATTCTCTGGTGTGTAAATTGTTTTTATCTATGCAAAGGTTGAACATTGAATCTGTTATATAATATGATTTTCTTTTTTTACATGTTTTTCTGATTTAATTGCTGTGATTCTTACCTATTTGGTTAATTTTAAATGACCCTATCACAGCTTCTTACTTATGACTCTAATGGTCTCTCAGTATTATTTTTCACTCATCCAAAGGCAACAGGTAATCCATAAATAGCATTTTTCCCCCTTGAAAAGTCCTCCTTCTTGAGGTTGGATGAGTTCTAGAACTTTTTTCAGCTTTCGCCCTGACTTCCATCTGTCACTGTCAAAGAGTATTCGAGAAGTAAATTATGTATTTCTTGTATGTGTTTGTGTGTGTTGTGTTTTTTTATTCCACACATACAACTGGTTAATGGTTTAGCCAGGTAGAAAAATTCTAGGCCAGAAGTCATTGCTTCTGTGTTTTCTGTCTTCCACATTTGCTGTTGAGAAGTCTGATGCCATTCTGATTCCAATCCTTTTCATGGGACCTATTTTTGTTCATTAACTTAGTTAGTTCTTCTCTTGATGCAAGCTTTTAGGGGTTCACTTTATCCTTGGCATTGCAAAATTTCACTATTACTTGTCTCTGCGATCTTTTTACATTCACTGTGCTTGGCACTCAGTGAGCCCTACCTATCTGTTGGTGCTAATCATTTCTTGTATTACTTTTTTGATAATTTCCTCCCTTTTATTTCTTCTTATCTTTTGCTGTAACTCCTGTTATTCAGATAGTGGACCTTCTGGATCAATCTACTGATTTCCTTATCTTTTCTTTCCATTTTCCATTTCTTTCTTGTTTGTTCTACCTTCTCAGCAATTTTCTCAATTTTTGTGTTCTACACCATTTATTAAGCTTAGTTCTCTGCTCTTTTCTTCCTCTGAATCTTTTCTCTCAGCACCTTCTCCTGCTTCATGGCCACAATTTTATCTATTTCTCTGATGTATTAATGTCAGTTTTAAATTTTTCTTTCTCCCTGCATTGCCTCCAATTCCTCCAGCTTTCTTGATTCTATTTGTCTTGGTTTCTGTTTCTTATAGTAAAATATTTCCTCAAACATGTAGACTCCTTGGCTATTTAAAACATATTTTTTAAAACTGTCTATTTAAAAACTAGGCAATAAAAAAATTGGTTGGAAGTTTTGTATTCTTGAATAAGGTTTAATGACTCCTGGGCTTCACTGTGGAATTCTCTGGCTGAACTATTTTATTTGGAGACTCCTGATATAAGTATTTTTAGGGTGTTTTTCCTTTGGATGGTGTGTTAATTTCCTAGGGCTACTGTAACAAATTATCACAAACTTGGTGACTTAAAACAACAAAAACTTATTCTCTCTCAGAATAAAGAAGAAAAAGGGGCAACTGGTAGACCACCACAAAGAGATAATGTATAGATCAGAAAAACAAAGTTACAATAAGAAGCCCCTCTAGCATAAGATCAGAAAAGCTCCGAAAAATCTCCTAGAATTAACCCATCTACAAGCATATTTTAGCTGAAAGCATTGCATAAATAGAAATACACTTTAGACTTATCTCTGGAGGTAGCATTTGCTCTTAATAAACTAGAAGGGTGCTTCAATATTCCTGTCTTCTCTTCCTCTCTTCTCAATCCATAAGAAACAAAAAGATAACGAGAGGGTAGAGGCTTGCTAAGAAAGGTTGTCAAGTGGGTTAGGGGAATCATTCAATCAAATGATCACTTCTGAACCAAAAGTCTGAAAAAGATTAAACACAAAACACATTCAGCCCCCGTGCCAAGAAATGGATAGGAACTCTGGAGGAGATATAAGTT